AAACAAAGCAAAATAAACAAATATCTGTATCCTTTGCAATAGGTGAGCACTTGTACAAAGACAGACTTATCTCGCTAAAACGATTCCCACATAAATAAAGCTCATCGGATATGAAACAGTATTTGCATAAGAAAAATATAAAAAGCCTAAACGATAGGTCCATAAGGGCGACATATCGGGCGGGCCGATGCTTGGAAAACGGTGCACGTCCGTCGGGAGCGGCGCGCCTTTAATAACAATACGAAATATCAGTTCGTTCCTACGATCGCAAATCTACGTCAATAACATATCCAATAGTAGCGCTCAATTCATTTCGACATAATCTAATATGGCAGGGCACGTTTCCCGCCTAAATCTCCCGCCACATGTCGCCAAGATGGCTGCCCGGTCGAAACGTGAAACTAAAGAAAAAGGAGATCACGAATCGGTTGTATCTTTCGAGTCCATAAAGTTAAACGTTTATTTGCAGCGATATTTTGTCCTTATGCGGATATTGCTTTAGGAACGACGTAAGTAGTCGAATATAAATGCAGTTAAGTGAAGGATGTTCAAAACTCATTCCTACTGTAGGTAACTTCTTTATTTTGTGTTCAAGGGTATGGAACATCTGATTTTCATAAGTTTTTTTCTAAGAATTACAGTAACTAGGCGAAAGGGTTCCCATTCTGCCTAGCAGTCTATCTAGGTAGGCACCGTTCTGTTACCTATGTTTTGCGACTTTCTCGCCGTTTTTGCATTTCCATTTGAAGTGTATACCGAGCCAGCTTATAAATAGAATAATTTAAAATTAAAAATTTTGTACAGCCGACTTCAATATAAGTTATTTAAGAATAACTCAAAAACTATTGGTCTGACCTTGATCAAATTCATATGGGACCACACGAGAACTATCAGCTTTCATATAAAAAAAGAATCATCGAAATCGGTTAACCCAGTACAAAGTTATGAGGTAACACACATAAAAAAAACATACAGTCGAATACCGTCTCCTTTTTGGAAGTCGGCAGAAAAGGCATTCCATCTTGGTCTACAAATGCGATAAGGCACCTACAGACTTCGTTAAATAAGTTGGTTGCAAGTGTCCATGGGCTGGTTGTATGCACATACCATGAAGTTAACCTTAATTTTTATATAAAGACAATTAAAACAAATATATTATGTAGGTTCCTTTATATTAACGCATAACAACCTCTTGTGCATACGCCTCAGACAGTAGGAAGGATAGATGGATAGAAACAAGTAGTGAATCTCTTCGTGTTTGAAAGAACATACGTTCTGTGCATGTTTGTTCTGTATTTAAGAGTATACGGAAGTTGACGTATAAGCCTAATCGATCAGAAAAATCCTGCGACTCTTAAAATTTTCCGTCGAATATTTATGAAAATATTTTCTCGTCTTCGATATTGAGAGAAGGTAGATATTATTTACTGAAGCCTATTTCACTGTATTGAAGCCAATGCGAGGGAAAGCCCGTCAACAACCATCGTAATTATGGTACAACAATTAGTAGATTTTGCACGACGATAATGCACCGTAAAACAGTACCTACTGCTACCAAATTAAACGCTAAAATAGCGACAAATACAATCGTATTCACTAGTTCTTTTTAATTAATAAATGTTACGTTACGCTCACACTCAGATTACCTACTCCAGTGTCGTTAGGGCATTTTGCATACATAAATTGCGCATAGACAAACGTCCACACACGAAACAATTAATGCTGTATTACGGTATGAAGGATTTTTTTACCTGATGGTAAGTGGTTGCTTGACCCATAGACATGTACATTTATCCCCAATAAAGAATCAAAATGCAGATGCGTCGTCACCCGTGAGGACTAAAATGGAATGCCTCTTTTCCAGTAAAATGGGTCTCCGGTCCTCTACACTCACCATACAAAACACAGCAGTATCAAGCTGCCATTTTACACTGGTATTCTGTGAGATCGTGGTTCTTCCCCGGTCGGGCCGACCCATTCGTGCTACAACTATACTACTAATATAGCTGCAGCATGGATCTACCACATACAAAAATATAGATATACTCGTAATTATTGCTTGAGCGGCGTTCCCACTTAATCCTCAGAGGTGACAACGCAGCTGTAGATTTCTTTCTTTGAAGATGGTTGCAAGTATCCAGGCTGCAGAAGCTACCAGCCGGTGCGGTGGACTGTGAGTTCCTTTTTTAATTATTTTTTTTTTAGATACTAGTAGATATAATACGTGTTACGTGCAGGGTTCAAGTCCGTATGCAGCGTCGGAGCCAATCGCTTGGCTACTGCGCTATCGAGCCGTAAAACTTTGGCCAGGTCTGGCTAATATTGCTATTATCCGTGGTATCCGTTTTAAGTCGACGAAGTCCATAATGCTTCAAATGCTTCTGCCAAATTTATTGAAGGAGCCTAAGGCAACTTAAATCAGGAAAAATATGAAAACATGTCACTAAACGAAAACTTTTAATTAAAAAAATTAATGAATGATACAATATCATATTATCATGGATAATCGGTATAGTGGAAACTTACAGAATTTAAATGTGATTGTGGCTAGTTTTTTTAGCCTTAATTTTTATGTCGAATTTTTTTAATTATAATGAATAAGTTATTTACTTTCCCTCGTTTATAAAAAATAATTGAAGGTAAAATTAATACACAATTTAAAAAAGGCGAATTTAAATAGAATTACAAGTACTTTAATGTGTTTTACGACATTAAAATGCTTTTTTAAAATTCCTAACGTTAAATTAAAATTTTAACCGGATTCTACGCTCCTGTGCTCAGTTCAAATAAACATTGGAAATTGCCACAATTAAGCTTGCCTTTCTAATGCATTGATTGATCAATCATCGAAGACCGACAATCGGAGGAAGTGCTGCTTCGTTTGTGGGGCCGCATTGTCCGCGGACGTGTTCCCCGAACGTTCCAACTACTGCAACTACACCAAAGAACACTTTACAGATGTGACATTTAAATTAACATGGATATCAGATACTTTTGTTATATTAATATTTTTATTTACATAACATAATAATATACACTATCTATAATATAAAAATTAATCGCTGAATGTGTTGCTAAGCGCAAATCTCGAGAGCAGCGGAACCGATTTCGCTAATTCTTTTTTTATAATATTCCTTGAAGTACGAAGACGGTTCTTACGGAGAGAAAAATTTAAAAAATTGCCTGAAAAAGTCTAAAAACGACACTTTTATATATTTCCATACAAAAGATTCGTAATAATACTTAAAAGTGAATTTGAACTTTAAAACCATACCATAAAGTTTAGGTCTTAGTGGAGGGGTTCCGGGAAGGCAAAACAATTGAGTGACGTTAGTATCGTATAACACACTGTCAGATAGCTGATGTTATAAGGAGTAACTTGGGCTGCTTTTATTTTAGGGTTCCGCGAAAAATAACTCCGGGGAATCTGGGGTCGCGGGGAACAGCTAGTTTATTATAATAAAACGAAATTAAAAAAAATATTACCTCATATTGATTGTTTTTATGAAAATATATTAAATTAATATTTTTTTCATAAATTAATATTTATAATTTATTTATTACAAAAACAGTTGCAGCATCATAATAATTTAAAACCAAGACAATACAAAAAAGAAACACTACTAGCGTTAAATATAAATATTTTATAATAAAAGTTTTATTTAAAAGTACTAAGCATCTTTATTCCATTTTAGAGAATTAAGTCTCAATTATTAAATTCAATGATAATAAATAAAATTATATGAATTCTTCATATATTTAATGGTTTCTATATAACATTTATCTCATTTTTATAGCACGATATTTGAATACAATCTGTTCTAAGAGAATACATATCTGTTCCTACAATCAGTACATAAGTAATTAAAGTCTAAAGTTTTTATAATAATAAAAATAAAACTACAACGAAAAATTAATTATAGCGTGTACTATGTAAATATACTTAATATAAAATAGATAAATATTTGAAGTAATATAAAATATTGATATTTAAAATAAAAAACGTTAACGAGGTAACGTTTTAAAAAATAAAAAACAAATTATAAACTATTTTACAATAACACTCAAAACTTATTTATCGGGTAATATATTTACATATAATGTATTAACCACTAGTTTTTGGGTGTAATTCGCATGCTATTCCAAAGCATCTTTAGAAGCAATCGAGGGTAGCCCAGCTGAAGTACAAAGAAGATATTCTATTTCATAATTTACTTCAATTATCGTAAATATTTTTAAATTACTTTTGACCCTTTTGAGAGATGAAACCACAAAATCTAACCTTATACATTTCACATTTTTAATATTATTACTATTTATTAATTTATTTAATCTTTATTGTGCTACACCTTAATCTAAGGGTTACAATGTGTGGACTTAATGCCTTATGGCATTTTCTACCAGTCAACAAAAGATTTAATATTACAGAAGCGACAATTTTTGTTATTGAGCATATTATTGTTTTTTATGATGTAAATGAGAAAAATAATGTTCTTTTATCAGTGTTCTAATTTTTGAACCGACTACAAAAAAAGAGCGGGCACTCAATTCGACTATGTTTTTTATGTGTGTTATCTCAGAACTTACTTCTAGGTGAACCGATTTTGATGTATCTTTTTTTGTTTGAAAGCTGGTGCTTCTCATGTGGTCCATATAAATTTGATCAAGATCTGACCAGTAGTTCTTGAGTTATTTTTAATAATGCGTATTTAATTGACTTCAACTACATTGATGATGTTCTCATTTTGTTTATATTGAAGTGGGTTGCACAACATTTTTAATTTTAACCCTTGTTGAATATACTGAAGATTAATTGTGCATTAAAATAAAGATCCCTTCTCAGTTATTTAGTCTATGACAAGAGGTAATCGGAGGCGATTTCGATTGATTCCGTCATTGTGATGGAGAATAGTGATTTCAGGAGGAATTGTTTCAACGGACTCCCGTAGTAAGTAAGATTCCAAGTTAATGTCCAGACAACGGTAATTTAACCAATGAAACTATACGGAATACGATTTTACTAATATGTAATTTGTACAAGAAACACTGTTCGAATATATTCGTACCAAATTATTATAATGATAAATATACGTAGGAGGTTGGCATGCATTTTTCGTTAAACTGTAATGTCTAGAATAAAATAATAGAATTTTCTAAATAAACGATTAGATGTTACAAAACACATTTTATTACCAAAATATTAATCAGATAACATTAGGGCAGAAATGTAGTGTGATAAAATTGGGTGTAAAGAGGATGTTGACTTTTCTTTGCGCATACTTTATGCTTCCTGCTGAAAGAGGTCCTGACAATGGCGTTATATATGAAAATGAAAATCCTAGCTCAAATATCACAGACTGATGAATGGGTGGCATTATTATACACACACACACACACACACACACACACACACACACACGCGCGAGCGCGCGCGCGCGCGCACGCACGCACGCACGGACGCACGCACACACGCACACCCGCACGCATGCACGCACGCACACACGCTTACACGCACGTACGCATGCACGCACGCACGCACGCACTCACTCATGCACGCACGCACGCACGTACGTACGCACGCAAGCACAAGTAAACAGCATTTTTGTTCCCTTTATATAAGGGGGGTAAGGGCCTGAATCTCTTTAATACAGGTTAATTTATAGTCAAGCAAGGAGAACAGAACGTCACATTCCACCTGTGGCTCCGCTCTCGAGCGGGTGTACCAGGTAGTCCGCGTGCGCTCCGTTAGCGCCCCCCCAGTTTCGCGCCCCGCGCGCCTCTCAGTGTTGGCGCTATAAGCGCTGAAGTCGGGTGAGTGTCTCATCGCTAACTCTCAGCTCTTACCCCCCCGCCTTCAGGTCGGGGAGGTCTGACTGAACGCTTTTTTATATTGTAGTACACTAGTACTGTATATGTTAGTAGTTTATTATAATTATATGTGTAGTATATATAACGTGTATATTGTCATATTGTTTCTTGACTTAGCCCCCGTCCTTTTGAGGACGAGGGAGAGTTTCAGAATAAGAACGTCCCGTTCTTTTCAGAACGGTGATCCCTGATCCCCCACGCCATAAGATAGTTCTAATTTTTAGTTTATTTTTAGTTTATTTTTAGTTTAGTTGTAGAATCGGTTAAAATGTCCTCGCAGAATGTCGTAGGTAACGTGCTCGATGCAGTCAATAGGTTCCAAAATGACCCGCAAGCTCTTAAAGCAGCCATCACAGCCCTTCTGGCTCCTCCCGCCCTTCAGGCACCGCCGCCCGTTATAGCGGACTACCTCGCGTCACGTAATTCGTTCGCGCCGCTCGAAATCGACATGGAGTGCTCTCACTCCGATTCCGCGACATCAACATCTGCCTCCAGGAAGAGGTCTGCTAAACAGTCAAGCACCAGGACATCGGAGTCCTCTGACTCCGATGATACCGGTGAATCCAATACATCGTCGTACACCACGGTTTCGTCAAAGCGCGCATCGAAGCGCGCCGCGAAAAACCGTTCGCCCCCCGCCGTAGCGGCCCGTGCCGCTCCCCCCACCCCCGCAGCCCCCGCCGCTGCCTCAGTCCCTGCAGCCCGAGCTGCCGCGTTAGATAGCTCAGCGCCAACAAAACCGGCCACGCGTTGTGCGCCGCAATTAGCTAAGAAACAAGCCCCGCCCCCTGTCTTCTTAAGAGATAAGGCTGAATTTACCCGGCTCAGTAAGATATGTTACGACTCGAAAATTAAGTACGAGGATGCTACCAACTTAGGCGTAGCAATCAAAATATTGCCAACCACGATCGACGATTTCCGCCGTATCACGAAACTTTTTACGTACGAACGCGTATCGTACCACACATACGCTCTCCCGGAAGAGCGTAAAGTTAGGGTCGTCATCCGAGGCGTCCCGTTTGAACTCTCCAACGAGGAGATACTTGCGGACCTTAAGTCACAAGGTTTCCCCGTTGAAGCGGTTCACAAAATGCATAGTAGGACCGGGCTGAGATACCCGGTAATATTAGTAATCTTAAGTAACGTCCCGGAGGCTAAAACCATCTTCCGGCAAGTACGCACTGTGTGCGGCTTGTCTGGAGTCAAGGTTGAGTCACCGCGTAGGCGCGGTTTCCCGGCGCAGTGCCACCGCTGCCAATTGTATGGTCACGCGGCGGCCAATTGCTCCGCCCCACCCAGGTGCGTTAAGTGCCTAGATCCGCACATCACCAAAGAGTGTCCCAAAGATGCCGTATCCCCGCCCGCGTGCGTCCTGTGTCAACAGACAGGCCACCCGGCGAGCTACAGAGGATGCCCGTGCGCTCCTCGTCCGCGCATAGCAAGACAGGCACCACCGCCGGTAAATGACCGTTCATTCCCGGCCTTATATGTTAGGAAGCCCCGTCAGGGCGTATCTCAGCCGTCTCAGGGCTTTGCACGACCCCCTCAGGGTCCCCCGAGACCGCTTAGGCCACCGCAGGCACCGCTTAGGCCACCACCGGGCTTCTCAAAGCCTATGCAGGCTCCAGTTTTTGCCTGGGGCCCCAAAAAGGTAGATCCACCGCCACAGGTATTTTCTGCTCCGCAGCAGAAACAGTCGACAATTGGCGATGACTTTAACACGGTTTACGCCGCGATAAGGAACATCGACATTAACGAAATCTCGGTTTTAGCGAGTAAACTGCGCGCCGCCCGGTCCCCTCAGGACCGGCTTTTGGCTCTCGCAGAACACAGTAATTTATTGCGTTCGTTGTAAGCTAAGTTAACTTAATTAACTTAGCTTATAATGACAGAGCCTTCTGCTCTGCCTAGAAGTCACGGTCGTATCAAGCCCAAAGGGCTATCGCTTATTTCATTTAATATTCGCGGATTGCGTAATAATCTCCCAGAGCTTAAGCTCTTCCTTAAAGATCGCGAAGCTGATTTTCTCCTCTTACAGGAAACCAATCTTAAACACACAGACAATAAAGGCTTATCCATTAAAAATTATTCTCTTCTTCGTAATGATAGGCACGACCGCCGAGGCGGCGGCACGGCCATTTATTACAAGAAGACACTACATTGCTCTCTTATTGATACTCCACAGCTTACCAATATGGAAGCTACGTTATGCAGGATATCTATGACGGGACATCAGTCTTTAGTCATAGCCTCCTGTTACATTCCCCCTAAAAACCTCCCCCTCAAAGATGATTTTGAGGCAATCTTATCTCAAAGTAATTCAGTCATTATGTTTGGAGATCTCAACTCTAAACATACTGAATGGACATGCCGTACGATTAATACTAATGGTAGGATACTGCGTGATATAACGCAGTCTCTTGACTTAACCGTTTTCAGCCCGCTCGGTGCAACGCACTATCCCGATAATACCGATTATAACCCAGATGTACTAGATTTTGCGTTACTCAAAGGAGTTTCACTCAACCTCAGGTCTATTGAGACACTAGACGATATAGGATCCGATCACCGACCGGTCTCTCTTATTCTTGGCCATCAGCCACCCCCTATTATAACTACGAAAACCTTCACTAACTGGAAGGGTTTCAAGGACTCACTAGCAAAAGCTATGGACTCGCAGGACTCCCCTAATTACCTATCGTCGGACTTAGACTTAGACAGTCCTGTAAAAATCGACACCGCGGTCGAATCACTTTCAACCCTAATTAAATCCTCCCTTAAGGAGAATGAAAGGGTCGTTCCGGTTGCTAATACTAATGGGCTTCCCCTATATATTAGCAACATATTAAAAGCTAAAAAAGCTGCTTTCCGGAGAGCAGCTAAATATCCCACCCCCGAATATAGGCATACGGCTAATCGTCTTCAACGAAAACTCCGTTCGCACCTTTATGAATTTCGAGAGCTCCAAAGGAGTGAACTCATGGAGAATATATCTCCCTCACATACAGCGTACTATCAGATGGCTAGAGCCCTCCGTATAGACGCTACAACTCACACTCCCCCTCTCTCCCGCCCCGACGGTACGGTTGCCTTCGAGGACGACGAGAAGGCTGAGTGCTTTGCAGACAGCATTGCCGCACAATGCTCTCCTAGCTCTCAACCTGTCGACCCCTCACATATTCAGGAAGTGGAGGATGAGGTCCGCCGCCGGAACTCACCCCCCACAACCTCTGACCCTATCACTGTGTCCAATGATGAGATCTCGTCCCTCATCAAAGGACTTAAGCCCAAAAAATCTCCGGGCGCGGATGGCATATCCAACCAAGCCCTTAAATACTTTCCAGAGCAGGTGTTAACCCTCTTAGCTATTATCTTTAACGCCTGTTTTAATCTTAGTTACTTTCCCACTTCTTGGAAAGAGGCAATTGTCATTGGTATTCCCAAGCCAGGCAAGCCTCTTAACCTCCCCTCCAGTCATCGTCCCATTAGCCTCCTAAAGGCCATGGGCAAACTCTTTGAAAGAGTCATTCAAAATCGAATGAGGCGCCATCTGTTTCCCACAGACGGTGACCCCATTGTCATCCCACACCAATTTGGTTTCCGCGCAAAACACTCGTGTCCACAACAGGTACACCGCATTGTGGAATATATCCTCAGCGGTTTTTATCCACGTCGACTAAAGACAATCGCGGTCTTTTTCGACATTGCCAAAGCCTTCGACCGAGTCTGGCATGAAGGCCTTATTTTCAAATTATATAGGATAGGACTCTCCGATCGTCTAGTACGTCTCGTAGCCTCTTATTTACAACATCGTACCTTTCGTTTTAGACACGAAGGCACGTTATCCTCTCAGCGCCCCATTAAAGCTGGTGTTCCTCAAGGATCAGTACTAGCTCCCCTCCTGTACATCTTGTACACCAACGACATTCCTATCCCGTCGAATGGTGTACAGCTCTCACTCTTCGCAGATGACACTGCACTATACTTCAAAAGTCCTAGAATATCTTCAGCAAGGAACAAGATCCAAAAGTCAGTCGATGACCTAGGAGACTGGTTCCAAAAATGGCGTATCGATGTGAACCCGGAGAAGAGCTCCGCAGTTCAATTCGATATTAAAAGACGCCGTAATAAAAACAAGAAAAATACTCCACCTATACGAATGCTAGGGACCCCTGTCCCATGGCACATGTCAGCAAAATATTTAGGCGTCACCCTTGACTATAGGCTTACTTTTGAGTCTCATGTCAAAAGAGTAACGCGTTTAGCACGTTTCTATTTAGGTCGGCTTAACAGTATGTTAGGCAGACATAGCAAAATGTCATTACGAAATAAGCGAACCCTCTATAAGGTTTGTATACGACCGGTTATGACTTACTCGGCTCCTATTTTTGCACACGCTAACGATAAAATTATTAACGAACTCCAAGTAGTTCAAAACCTCTTCTGTCGTCGAGCTACGAACGCACCTTGGTACGTCCGTAATGCCGACCTTCACCGGGATTTAGAAATCCCAACAATCCAGCAATGTCTTAAAAAATTCTCTGAAAACTTCTTTAAAGTATCAGAGTCGCATACTAACACACTTATTCGTGAGGCAGTTACTTATACCGCCCCACTCCCTTCTCGCTATAGCGTCCGCAGGCCGAGAAACACTCTCTCGGACCCGCCAAATAAGTTGTCAAACGACCTGAACTGCCTCCTGGCGGCTCAGGCCAATCCTAATTAAATTAAAAATTAGTTAAAATTAATAATATGCCTTCGTAGGCAGTCCCTAAACGGCACTTAGCCGTCTGCGCCCTCTTTTCCCAAAAGAGGGTCGCTTTAGATACGGCATATGCAGCTTTAATAGAGCTAGTTGCCAGTCCCCAAAGGCGGTTTTTAGTGGGTATCACTTAGGTCCCCCGGTAGGCAGTGAGTCCCACATAACCAGGACAGACCGGCTGTCGTGGTATGCATAATGCATTTTCCGCCTCCCTCAGTGGTAGCCCTTTTCCAATTGCTTCGGGCGCAAAAAAAAAAAAAAAAAACAGAACGTCACCCTCACTAGTGTTTTACCTAACTTTATTGCTGTGTGTTAAATGTAAGATTTTTTCTGTATTACACTACAAGAGTAAAGTTTAATAAATTTTTATTACTTATTATTTATTTATTATCAGTTTGAAAGTACTGACTAATACACAAATCGTTCAACTTATACTCTGTAACGAGGATAAAATAAGTTAATGAAAACACTTTCCTCGAGGAAAGAAATTTCTCACCCCTTATCTCGTGTTGAAAAAATTATTATAAAACCTATTGTAAACGTGCATTAAAATAGTGTAAAATGTCTTTATTCATTAATTAAAAATGTAACTTAAAGGTATAAAATTAATATACATTTGATTTTTTTAAAACAAAATCTTTCTTTCCTTTGTGAAGCAAGGTCTGATTTGACTGTAGTCAGAATTTTCTTTCATTGTGTATATGCAGTTCGTTAGTGATGAGCACATCTGGCACTGAGAAGGTTATGGTCGTGGGTCACGTGCCCCATTGCTATTGATTTCCATTTAATCCGGAGCGTGCTCCGAGCCACTGCTGGACGGCGCTGTTCACTATTGCCACTTAGGCTGCTATCTCCGCTTTTTTTATTCGTAAAAGCTTTGAGTAAGAACATACGTAATATTAAGCTTGTACTTACGTACTTACTACCTTCCGGTAAACGCGCTCTATGAAACTGTTCTGTTTTACAGAGTTGATATACAATTTTTACTTGCTTTTTTATCAACATTTTATATAAATATTGTTTTTGCCTGTCATGTAAAGTCTAAATAAGAATATTAAGGTCTATTTAATGATTATTTGTTAATACGAAGGGTATATTTTAAAAATATTGTCAGGTACAAACACATTTTCAAAAACGGTTCATAACTGCTAAGCCTCGTCATCATTAAAATTATCTCTATATTCGTTTAATTTGTATATTATGTGTTACCTTATATTTTGATATATAATATGTATTTATATATTCGTGTATGTGTTTATATGTGTGGGTGTATTCTATATATATATTAATTTGGTACCACTGTTTTATTCTATTGAGTATTATTTGGATATGTATATAATAGTCATTTTTTTATGTTCTCTGTAATCGATTGCCTGCGTATTATTATCACTGCTTTTATAAGTTTACCGTGCTGTATACTGTTTTGTAAGGTTCAATAAAGATTAAATAAATCTGCAAAAGATTGAAAAAGGTTAAATGAATAATACTACTCTACTACCATCGCAAGTTCATTGCTGAATATAGGCCTCCCCCATAAACTGTCACAAAGCACTACAGTACCTACTAGAGCATAAGCTGCTCACTAGAGAACCTTTCTTCGCCATCGGTTGTCGATTCTTCGAGCTATGTATATTGCCGGCCTATTGCCACATCAGTCTACTGATTCGCTGAGCTATGTCGGCTATTCTTGTAAGATTCTAGTTCCAGCTACGTGGGAATAGGAACTATTTTTGAAAACTGTGTACATGTGATTATTAAATATTTTTAGCAACAAGTATAGGTAAGGCAATCTAGAGTTCGAAATGACCACCGAAATTAAAACGTACGAATGGAACAGTAGTAATCTGAATAACTATCGGTAATTGTCTTTGTGTTCAAGAAATTGAATTGAAGGCAACAGTAATTCCTGTCGTGGAGACAATGGCGCGCGTGACTCCATCGAAGTTGTTCAGTCTCCGCCCAACGCCACTGTGGAAACGTGTTCCGCTTCTGAGTATTACGTGTGACTTTATGGTTCATGTAATAGACAATTCAATTTCCTTCAAAAGAAGCCATTATCTCGTCATTAGATCGTCATCATCATACTAATGTTTAAATTTATTTTAATGTTATTAAATTATAGATTCGTCGAAGTTCACTTCAACCAGCACAAAGCGCTTTCTGAAGGCGTAAAGTTTGCTTGATCAATTACTTTGGAAAACTCTTTTTAAGGTAAATTGTTTTTAGTAGACCAGTAAATTCCGAGATGGCTTATGCCGCCTAAAAATTAATTGATTGGATCTCGTTTCTAAAAGGAAACAGCGCGGAAGAGTTTTAATTAGCGAGAAAAAAAGCACCACAAAACTTCCGACGTAAAAAAGCGGGAGACAAGGGTGGGCGTAGCGCGGAATAAAAATCTCCCGCTCGTAATGCGGGCAACATTTGTGTGAGGAAGGCGCTCAGTAATGGAAGACAAATTTCAATATAATTTGCAATACATAAGCGTGTTACTTTAATAGCCCAGAACCACCCTTCAAATTAAACGGGGCTTAAGTTTTATTTTATTTTTTCCCCGTCAGTAGAAGCGCGTAGCGGGCGCGTAAGCGAGCCGACGCAGTCCGTCGAGAGACGCGCGTTGGAAAAAATATAATCCAACCAAATTAATTGCTCCTACTTACAATAGTGGCGCCCGCGATGCCGCCAAATCAAATTAAGGACGCGCTATAAAAACCAAATTAGTGCTCGCTTTAACCGTGAGAGGGTATTTAGTTACAAGACGTTAGTTCAAATCCCGCCATTTTCATTAACAATAAATATCCCCTCGCAACCGCACGGAATCCTTATTGTTTTACTTTTTACACCCTTGCTTGTGTCCCGAGTGGGATATAGCGGCGGACGACGTCTTCTGCAGATACTGTCTAATTTGTTCTTTTTGTTTACTTACTTAAAAGGCGTAGGTAATAAAAATTTGTGTTGCACGAATTGTATGGACTTTAAATTTTTATATAACCACCAGCGGTGCGTCAAGGAAAGTTTTGCGTTTAATTGGGGAAAAATTTGAGGGTCGACGAGCGCTTCTGCGTAGATTCTTAAACTAATTGGATGGTCGTTACGAAGTTTCTTTTTTCATTAACCATTTGCACAAAGTCGATTAGAAGAAGAATTACAAGTTACATTTTTGTACAGCTTCTATGTTCTATAATATTTTAAACAAATTAAGGATAACTCTAAAATCGAATTTAAAAAACCGTTATTTCGCCCGTCCATCAACCACAGATGAATAGCACGAAGGGGTGAATTTGATGGTTTTTTTTCGGCACGTTAGGCCTTAATTACAAACGATGCTCAGAATTAGAGGGCGGCAACGATTTAAAACAATAAGTTGATACCGTCATTAGTGAGCGTTGGCGGTTGCATATTACCGGTTTTACCTTCTTAATGTGACGATATTATGATGTTTATTACTCATACAGATTGAACGCCACGATACCATATAATTAGAGATAGGTAACGCGAAGAACAAGTTGCATAATGTGTGTAATTTATTTTTATAGAAGGTCTTATAAAAAGCTCATAAAAAAGTTATTCGCCCGGTATCTATAATAACGTGAGGAGATTTTCAAAATAAACTTGTGCTTTTCATTATTGCAGTTTTATAATGAATACATTAAAGAATATTATTTTAAACGCAGTTATAATTATTTTACAAAGTAAAGGCTGTTATGACATTTTTACTTCAACGCTTTCATACATATTTGAGGTGTATGTGACTTCTCAGAAAAGGTATATGAGTTCGAATCTCATTTTCATAACTTTGAGTTGGCTGAATTTAAGGGGTCTGCCACCTGGATTAGCTATGAAATTGGATTCAAACTTTATTCCAATCAAATTTCGATAGGTCTTTCAAATACGGGTTAAGGCAAGTCGTATTTGATTTGGCACTTTTCTTAACGTGTAGGCATCGGAGATGTCACGGGGGTTAGCACTGAAAATCAGATTATTCGAAAGTCCCATAAAAAAAAATTCTTGATATTTTACATCTAGGTTTCGCAATAAAATATTATCGTGCACCCAGCAAAGCGTGCGGATATCAGCTAGTATTAATATATTGAGCAAAAGCTTCGTTAGGTAATTTGGAAAAATATGCATCATTATTTCATTTAAAAATTTCCTTTTGTGCATACACTATATTATTTTACAAACAAGCAATTTCGTCGAATCAGAATTTTGAATCATAAAAATGAAAGAT